CAGTCACAATTAGTCTTGCCAAACTTGCCATAATTAGGTTCGTCCGATATGAGGCAAATCCGGGTCGTCTCTAACTTCTTGCAAAATTTTGTTTAGGTTTGGTACTTCTTTTTTGAGAAAAAATCTATGAATTTTCCTTCAAATACAATTTTTGGCAAATTCATCAATTTCAATAGGCTTTTTTTCCTCTCTTTAAGTGTTTGTTTATGTTTGGGTTAGCTAAACCGTGTTTTTTTTCTTTCCGATCGGAACCTATATATAGTTGACTCCCCTGTGCCAGTCATGTTGGCACAACTTCCGACTATGTTGCGAACAGTGTTTGTGGGATTATGAGAAACCAGATCATCGTGAACATTCAGGAGAATAGTCTTTTCTCTTGGTGAATAGACAGACTTACTGACTGTACGCAACAGTACCGGTGTAAAACTTGATGATGTTGATGATGAAGCCATCACAAACAATCTAACAAAACGAGCACGAGCGAAAGGTACGTATATGTTCGTTGGTATATGGAATAAAAAATCACTCACGCACTGCATATAATTCGCAAAAGAAATATTCGAGACGCTTATTACTACCGTACACCCACGAGCCGTGAAGTACATGCTATCAAAAACGTACTAAACAAAAAAAATTGTTTTTGTTCGTAATAACTTCACCCTTTCAAGTTAAATTTCAAATATAAACTCAACAGACGAGGCACGTGGTCAAAGCCAGCATCTGCATGCCCATTATATTATAAAAAATCTGGGGAATTCCATCCTAATTATCTTGCAACGAATAGTACCTTCGAATATGAATTCCAGGTTTTCTAGTAAAGTGATTAAATGCGAAGATTAGTATTGAAATATCCAAAGAGATAAGGTATTCTTATTTACAAAATTTTTGATGGTTAAATTTTTATTTTTATTATTATAATATAATATCCAGCATTAGCCGTGAATGTTTTAATTGTTTTTTGCTAAATATATATACATCGGTTTAGAACGTCTTTCGACGTTGTCCGATACCTAAACACCATCTCTTCCTATCTTCGCAGTCGTTTGTTGTTAAATTTCTTTCGCTCATGGACTTGTTTACGCCGTGTTGCCATTCTAATCTGGGTCTTCCTCTTTTCCGTCGACCTATCGGTTGCCATTCTACTACTTTTTTGAGGAGTCTTGTTGCTGGCATCCGTTGAACATGCCCATACCACCTTAATTGTTTCTTCTCCATATCTTGAGTTATATTTCCTTCTATTCCCATACGTTGTTTTATTACATCATTTCTGATTCGGTCTCGTCTGTAAATACCTAAAGATCTTCTCATTGCATCCATCTCAATTCGCTTTTTGTTCTGTTGCTTCTTCTCTATTCTATTCTATATGCTTCTATTCGCTTTTTGTTCTTTTCACTAATTCTCCATGTTTCAGCGCCATAAAGAAGAGTAGTTTTAATCATGGTCTCATATAATTATATTAATTTTTTTTCCTTTCGTTATCTCTTTACTCCACAGTATACCATTGAAACATCCTAAGACTTTCTTTGCTTGAGTGATTCGTTTTTCTATTTCCCGTGTATAAGTTTTTGTATTGTCAAAGGCAACACCCAAGTAGTCATAGCTCTGACAGCAGGAAATATGTTATCCGTTTTCGAGGTCTATGTTATCCGACTCGTTTCCAATACAAAGATATTTGGTTTTTATTGTATTGACATTCATTCCCCAGTCGTTATATTCTTCTATGAGTTTTCTAAGCATATACTGCATGTCTTCCCTGTCGGTCGCTAGTACTATCTGGTCATTAGCAAACTGGAGTGTATATATACATTCATTGCTAAGTTCTATACCCATCCTATGCACCTTTCTTTTCCATCTTTCCAATGCTGCTGCAACATATATCTTGAATAAGGTTAATGAGATACAGCATCCCTGTCGCAAGCCTTTTGTAACCAGGAATTCTTCCGTTAGATATTTTCCTGTTTTTATCTGTGCCTTTAAGTCTATATAGTTCTTGTACAGCATTTATCAATGTGTATCAATCTTTTTTCTATTATTTGTTTAAGACAAAATACGTTTCGGTGCACGATCTTCCTGCACGGTACCTGCTTTGTTCTTCCTCTTCATTGTGCTTATATTCTTTTTTGATCATTTTTCTCAAAATTCGTCCATACACTCTGCTCAGGGTGCTGGTTACCGATATGCCTCTATAATTATTACAATTCCTTTTGTCCCCCTTTTTGTTTATTGAGGACATGTATGCCGTTCTCCACTGTTCTGGTACTGGGTGTCCATTTAGACACTGCTTGATCACATAGGTTAAGTTTTCAAATAGTTTATGAGTTCCATTCTTAAGCATTTCAGCATAGATTCCCTTAGGTCCAGCGGATTTACCATTCTTTAGGGTCATTACAGCCTTCCTTACTGTTTCGATGTCTACACTCGCTTCCTCTCCTTGTATATGTACTGACTGTGTTGATGAGATCGCTAGGTATTTTTGTCTTGTCTCTATCAGCAAGCTTTCACAGTGATCTTTCAATTGTCTTGGTTTTATGGTGTGTATGTGTGCTTTGTCTTTTCCTGTATTTTTTACTGATTGTATAAAATTCCATTCCTCTGTACATTGCTTCCCTTCGATGTATGTATTGATTTCTTGACATTTCGGATCCCATGTTTTATTCTTTTCTTGTTTTATCATTTTTCGTAGTTGTCTATCGGTTTCTTTGTAAGCTTGGTGCTCTTCAGTATTTTTTGTATTTAGCCATTTTAGATGCTTTTTGCTAAATATATTAGTATTAAAACAAGAATAATATTAATATCAATTTTAATGAATGAACACCTCAGGAACGCCTATGATGATACAAATTTTACGACCGTTTCATGATTTTGAGGCAAATTTCCTGCTATCAACAATTTGGGAACAGATAATACGACTTTTTAAACTCACCCGAATAAGTCTTTAACCTAATTGATTCCTTGCAAAAGGAGAAAGAAATGACAAAATTGAAGGAATACAATAACATACCAGCATAGAATGGGAAAGAGACTTAACGGAACTGTTTGAAGCAAAGGAAAATAATAATCAACACAATAACGTACCTGAATTAAGACACAAAATAGAAATCAGTTTTCAAGAAGTAGAAATAGCCATAAATTCACTTAAAAATAGAAAGTCACCAGGACCAGGCGTAATAACCAATATGCTTCTAAAACATGGAGGAGAAAGTATAACTCTAGAGATGACAAAATTTATACAAAATCTAATATTGCTCTGCAAGAAACCAGACACATGAAGAAACAACATAACGATACCAATGTTCAAGAAAGGAGATAAAGAAGAACCCAACAATTATAAAGTTATAAATTTACTGAACAGCGCACTTAAGCTTCCCACAAAAGTCCTAACCAACAAAATCAATAAACTAACAACCCTATTAGATGAACAACAAGGATGTAGATCCGGAAAATCCCGCATAGACGCCGTATTTGTACTAAAAAGGCTATCAACTACAATAAACCAGCATATGTATGTTTTATAGACCTAACAAAGCTTTCGCCCGTATTGAAGTCAAAGATATCTTACACCTCCTGTATGAAAGAAATATACCAATCAATATTACACAAACCATGGAAAACTAATATAGGCAAATATAAATGAAAAACTAACACAGTGTATACCAGTACAAAGCTGAGTCAGAGAGGGTGACTGAATAATGGACGAAATAATACAAGCGGTACGTAAAGGTCAGAGCTACAGAATGGCGAACAAAGAAATCCAAATATTATGTTATACAGACGACGCCACAATAATCACTGAGAAAGAAGACGGGATCCAAAGATTAACACACACCTTCAATACAACAGCCCAGAAATACAATATGATAATAAAAAAAGCTAATAGCAGAAATAACCAAATGTATGAAAACACCTAAATACCCACTGCGATGTAAAATATAAATTAATGAAAAAATAATAAAGCAGGAAGCAAGATTTAGATATCTAGGAATAAATATAACTAGTTACGAAAATGTTGAAAAAAAAGTACGAAAAAAAGCTAAATGCAAGTAAAGTTGCGGGGTCTCTTTAAGACAAGATATAAAAACAAGAATCTATAAAGCAGCAATTAAACTTATATTAACATACACCGCGGAGATAAGACCCGCCACATCTAAAACGAGACGACTACTAAAACAACAGAAATAAAAATACTCCAACGAATATCAGGGAAAAGTCTGTTGGATAGGGAGGGAAGTGAAAACATAAGAAAAGCATCCAATATAAAAGACATAAATGAATGGGCGACAAAACGTAAACAGGAGTGGAACAAACACATCAGTAGAATGGCAGAGGATAGAATAGTACGAATAATACGAGATCAGTCACCAAATAAACGAAGAAGTATTGGTAAACCAAGAAAAATAAGGTGAGAAAATTTAAACAATTTACGCGGCTAATATTGAAGAAGAAACGGGTTTTAAGCCTACATTACAAGATTTATTTTAGAAGATCAAACTCCATACCAGAGAATTTAATTCTCAAACGTGGTCTTGAATAGATAAGAAAGGCAATCTAAAAACCGATACTGAAAGTATTGTGCCGAATAATGTAAAAATAACGTGGTACCAGCAGAAAATCGATGGCCCTCTGACTACTCTGGAAAATCTACTATCTCACTCGCTAAAGTCAAAGATGCAATTAAATCGCTAAAGAGAAATAAGAATAATATTGAATAAAAACAGGCACGAAAGCCTATATAACAAGAAGGAAGAAGAAAAAGAAGGTTCCTTGCAAGACATTTAGTTGTTAAACAGAATTACTTGTATATACTAATAGGTTCTTATTTAGAGCTTATAGATTAATTGTAGCAATTGGTAACATGTCATTATTGTAATTAATATACACATTAATATACACAATAGTCAATGACCATCGCAGTCGAGATACATTAATTTAACAGGTTGGTCTGTTTGTTCGATGGCAATACTCTTGTGTTGTATTTCCTCAACACCGTCTGAGGACAGCTTCTACTCGATTTTACCCATATCGTAATTTTTAGGCATAACGTATCTTCTGATGAAGTGTATGTAAATATGCCCATGCTCGTCCTCTTTTTCTTCGTATTTTTCTTCAATGGTAACCTCCCGATCTCCTGTTACTTTCCCAGATATTTCTTCAGGTTTAAATAGTTGGACATCTGGGTTGGCCGAGAATTGGTCTTTTCCATAATTTACTGTAGAGCTGGAATCTTTTCCAGACGATGCAGACTGCCAATTTCTGAGATATCCGGCAGGGCATCTGAGGAACTGTCTGGAGATAGGCTGTATAAAATTTTCGGCTCCAGAACTTAACTTCTCTTAGTTTGTATTATTGTAAGACTGATTTCATCTGCTTAATTTTTTTGTATTTTGAATATAAAACATTAACTTAAATAATAAAAAAAGATTGGTTGCCACACTTATATTTGCCTCTGACACGCTGGTGTCCTGTTACATATTATTTGAACGTCAGGCGTATTCCGTTTAAATTTGTTGACAATTTTACTTAGTAATTGGATAAATCATTTGGCTGTTCCGGAGATCAAGTCTCACAAGACGTCGTCGCGAGCGTTAAATTAATACAGCCGGAAGCTGATTATTCTTGTGAAAACTGAAATAGGGAAACTCTACAAAACTGGCTGAAAGACTGACTCTTAATACTTGGCTTTAATTATTTTACACAACAAAGTTTTCAGTTGTTATTGTGCATAAAAAAAGTAAATAAATTACGGATTGCAGTTTCAAGTGAAAACTGATGATTTTAAAACAGAAACCTACAAATTTATAAAGATGATTTAAATTTAATATGTAAATGCATTTTTGTACAGATTGCATTTCACATCCACATGCCCTTTATCATGGTCAAAATTCGTTGTGAATTCAATTCATGGTACTCCAAAAAAAGGATTGAACTCAGAAAACAACAACCCAAAATTAACGTAAGAATGCCACAAAACGAAAAAATAAAAAACGAATTAAAAAATAATGGGAATGTTAATATGCAAAAAATACTAACTGGCAACAAACAAATTATGGATATAAATAAAAAGTGGTATAATATAAAAAACGCATTACTGAAACCAGCTCAAAAAAGTTTAATACAACATAGGCCAGACACTAAAAAACACTGTTTTTTAGAAATACTGTTACTGATGGAAGAAAGAAGGGAATGTAAAGGAAAAGATCTACAGAAGTATAAAGAAATACAACGAATAATTAAGGAAAAAATCAGAACAGCTAAGAAAATCTATTGGATGAAGCAATGTAAAGAGATAGAAGAACTAGAAACAAAATATGATATGAGAAATATGCACAAAAAAATTAGAGAAGTGACTGGAATGGGTCAAAATAGACAGCAAGGATACATAAAAGACAAAAAAGGAGTACTACTAATAGATTTACCAGAGAAGTTAAGGCGACGGGAGGAGTACGTTAGCGAACTTTTCCAAGATGAAAGAGGTGAAACGCAGAAAACACAAGAATAAAATCCTTTAGAGACACAGAAGATCACGATACATGAAATCAAATATGCTATCAAAAACTTTAAAGACAATAAGGCAGTTGGATTAGATGAAATACCAGTAGAACTGTTAAAACTAGTGGAAGAGGATAACTTGGAAGTATTGGCAGATTTATTCAACACGGTGTACGATACGGGAATAATACCACAAGAGTGGCTGAAGTCAGCATTCATTACCATCCCTAAAAAACAAGCAGCAAATGAGTGCTTTGATTATCGAACACTGAGCCTCATGAGTCATACTTTAAAGGTTCTGCTAAAAATAATACATAAATGAAAGGCTAGAGGAGCATATTAGCGAGACGCAGTTTGGGTTCCAAAATGGAATGGGTACTCGAGAAGGACTATTTGCCATCAACATATTGATTCAGCGATGTCGGGATGTAAATGTTGATCTAGACTTGTGCTTCGTTGACTTCGAAAAAGCTTTTGATAAAGTAAGACATGAAAAACTAATATCAATACGTATGAACAAGCCCATTGAGAGTAAAATCATAAATATAGTGCAAACGTTATATTGGAACCAAAGTGCCATAGTTCAAATTGATAGGCAACATTTAGAAGAAATGAGGATCTGTAGAGGAGTTAGACAGGGATGTGTTTTATCGCCACTTTTGTTTAACTTATATTCTGAAGAAATTTTCCAAAACACGCTCAAAAATAACGAAGCGGGAGTCACCGTTACCGGAAAATTAATTAACGACTTAAGATATGCAGACGACACTTATCGAAAGCTTGAGTATGAATAGTGCTGAGATGGCAATTACTATAAACGGTAAAAAAACGAAGTACATGCTAATTACAAAAAGACCACAAAATATACATCACCTATTGACAACCAATGGTAACGTGATAGAATAAGTAAAAAAAAATCAGTACTTGGGAACTTTAATCAATGAAACCAATGATCCTACTGTAGAAATAAACAGGCGAATAGAGATTGATAGATCAGCATTTATACGAATGAAGCCACTCCTAACGTACAAAAATCTAAATTTGGAGATCAGACTACGTACCATTCGCTGTTATATATTTTTAATATTATTATATGGAGCTGAGACTTGGACATTAAAAACATGTAATTTAAGAAGAATCGAGGCCTTCGAACTCTGGTTATACCGCAGAGTATTGAAATTATCATGGACTGATAGAATTACAAATAAAGAAGTGCTGAAGAGGGTTGGTAAAAAACAGAACTAATCACCACTATACAAATCAGAAAACTGAAATACCTAGGCCACGTGATGAGGGGACCAAAGTATGAAATTTTGAGACTTCTAATGTAAAATAGACAATATGATTGCCAACCTCCGTAGGAAGACGGCACTCGAAGAAGAAGAAACGGAGTAAAAAAATAAAATATAAAGACGGTACTAAATTTTTGTTTCAATACAGAGCAGCGGCAAGCCGCTTATACGTATTTCGACCTCTTTAGATCTCATCAGAGCGGTATAGCCACCTCTCTGGATCGAAACAAAATCTATTCCCGTCTTAGACAATAGTTATAAAATAACTATATACGGACGTAACTACGACATATAATAACAAAAAGAGAAATCGAAACGATTTCTATATGGCAAAATCGCGTTTAAATTTTAACCACTGTGCTTTTTAAAACTTGCAAAGCAAACAGCTTGATATATAACTCGACAAGGGAATCTAAGATTGCATTCCACATGCCGTTTATCATGGTCAAAATTCGGCCAGGTAGAAATCGTTTGATTTCTCTTTTTGTTTTTAGATGGCGTAGTTACGTCCGTGTATAGTTATTTTATAACTATTGTCTAAGACAGGATTAGATTTTGTTTCGATCCAGAGAGGATAGTTTCCTCTCTAAACTTCCTTCTACAGATCTTCTTTGCTTCCCGTCTTTTTGCGGCATAAGCTTTTTTACTCTCTTCATTATTTCTTGTTCTATGTGTGAGTCGGCTGCTTCTTGAATTTGTTCTTCTAGTTGTACCCATCTGCTTTCTCTTCAATTTGCTGCCTGAATTTTTTCTTAACTTCTTTCTTCTGAAGTAGTGCACCGTCATATCTTTTTATTTTTTTTACAACTAGTGTTATTAATTGTGGATATTATTTGCTCCATTTTAACTTTGACCAAAAAGTGGTCCGAATTTGCGTCAGCACCTCTGTAACTTCGGCTATCGTTTATGGCTCTCATATGGCTTCTATTAGTAAATGATCTATTTGGTTTACTGTTAGTCCATCTGGTAATACCCAGGTACCTTTATGAATTTCTTTGTGATCAAAATAAGTGCTCATAATTCGCATATTGTGTTCGAAAGCAAATTCTATTACTCTTTTTCCATTCACATTACTGTCTCTATGATTAGTTTTTTCCCCTGTTATTTGTTTGTATACATCCTCCCTGCCAATATTGGCATTCAAATCTCCTATAAATGTTTTTATGTCATATGATGGTATTTTGTAAAACATATGTTCTAATTGTTCATAAAAGCTATCTTTAATGTCTTCATCTGTATTTTCTGTTGGTGCATTAACATTTATAAGGATTACTTTTCTATATTTTCCTCTTATTCTTATTTTACATAATCTGCTTGTGACTGCCTCAAAATATATCACTAGATTGGCAAATGTTTTCTTTATAAAAAATCCCACCCCAAATATACCTTGTACAAATTGTCGTACTACTTCTTCAAATTCATCTATAAATTTCGTCTCTTCTACCCACTTCGTCTAGCTCAAAGATGTTATCTTTTTGGTATTCAAATAGTTTTTCTAGATATTCTTTACACGTTCTTATTTTACACTATTTTTCCAAGATTATAATTCCGTCAGAATAAGTTATATTGCCTTTCTGCCTTCGTCTTAGTCTCCCTGTGAGTCCTTTAACTTGCCTAAGTTCTTTAACTTTTACCAGCTACCCTTTATATACCTTTCAGAACCTTAAAATACCTGTGTATAATTTGTTTAGCTTTTTTCTTCATTGACTGTTATAAAATGTATTTTTATGTAATTGGCATTTTTAAAATATCTCACATTTATTTAGTATTTTGATGTTTTAGCAACACTGTGGAATTCTGAAATCATAAATCTTAAATAACTTAACCTTAGAGTTGTTAATTTTAGTTGTAGGTAAAAGACCATAAACTCTTCGCCTATAAAAATTGTATCGTCAATTTTCCCGATTTATAAGTTCATAGTATCAATGAAAAAAAGTAAACAAAATATATAAAAATCATAAATTTACATTTGTCGCTAAATACAGCTGTTCATATAACTAGAAAAACCATTAATATAAGATGGTACTTAAAGCTCGATTAATAAAATCGTTTATTTCTACTAATTATTCATGCCGCTTTTTATGCCGTTAAGTATATTAATGGTTAGTTAACCCTTTTTCAAGAGTTATTAAAAATATAATAGGAAATCAATTGCCTTCATAGTCATTTAAAAATTAAGCTTTAAAGCTCTGAATGAAATATAAGCTCCTTGAGTCGATATCTCCTCCATCGCCTTAATGAATTCACAATGGCTTTTCAGTTAATTCTCTTTCTTGTTGATCCAGTAAATTCTCGAATGACATCGTTGAGCCTTTTGAAGATAGTAGGTAAATTAAAATTAATCTTTTTAGCCGATACAGTATTTTCTGGTAAAGTTTAAACCTAATTAGTAATTTCCGACAATGGAATGCAAAGTAAAAAGGAATATTAGATGGTCTTAGATAGTTTAACTAAATTTTAAGAAATTATGTATTATCAAGTTAGACAATGGATATGACAATACATCCTAATCATGTTGAAATACTGTCGAGAACATTTATAATGTATGTATAGGAAATTTCCTTGTTATGTAGATAAGGTCTAGGTGAACTTACAAGGGTTTTCGAATAAGTAAACAAGCAAAGATTTAACTGAACAATTGAAGATTTTTTTTTAATGGCTTTGAATTATTGATCCATTCAGCCACGATATTATAATAAATACTGTTTGCTACAATATTAAATACTATATACACATGCGCACATATACACACTTATGTACGCACATACATATATAGGTATTGTAAAATAAAAATATAAAAAAATACAAAAAGGAAGAGGAAACATTAAATTGACCTCTATTTAAACTCTTCATTCAGGACCCTAACCAACTTAAATTAATTTACAAATAAGAAATATACAAATAATACGAAATGCTAATACTAAATGCTAATAATTAATAATTGTCACAGCGCTAAGACATAAACCCGATTCAACACCTCGGAGGTTTAGGCCTCCTTTGTGATTGTTTTTTTTTCTGTATTTATTTTGTATTCTTTTTCTTCTTTTCTTTTCGATTCTTTTTTTAAATACGATTTTTTATTTAGATGTATTTTTTTATTTTATTTACATAATTTTTTTTATTTTTTCTTTTTTTTTTCTTTTTATATACATATATATTTTTTAATTTTTTAAATAACAATGTTAATATTTTACAGGGAGGTACCTAATATTACATAAGAATAAATATGAAAAACAATAATTGCTAAACACATTCAAGCCGACTCATTCATCCAAGTTAGATTTTTCTCTTAGTCCTTTTTAAAAATTCCCAAATAATTTGTTGTATTTTATAGTTACGTCGAGACAAGTATAAAAGAGAAGTTTGGTTTTGTGGTAAAGGTATTTGTTCTTGAGCCAGAATGTGCATCAAATATTTAATTGCATCATCATTATGCTTGCATCCAAACAACCAATGATTAATATCATCAGCATAACCATTGCAATCACAAAGTTCTGATTCGAATAGATTTAGTCTATAGAGGTATGTCTTGACAGTGGCATGGTTAAAGAGACATCTAACAAACATTGAATAAATATTTCTATTGGGGTAACTTAGATTAGAAACAGAAATATCATATATTTTTTGTAGTAGCTCAGTTTTATTGTAAGACTGGCATTTGAGAATAAATTTTTAAGCTAAAAAAATTGAAGACTATGTTTTTGTGCATTAACTAATTTTGAGAACTTTTTGTAAAATAATTGTAAGGAAAATAAAACAGCTATAAAATCTTAGAATGTGCTAAGTGCCATCACAAAAATATAAAATATTGGGGTAAGTAATAATTAAAAATTGATGGATTCGACCGTTACTTGATGGAAATTCATTTTATGTAACAATAAAACACTGAAAACTTTGTTTTCAAACTTCCACAAAATTTATTTTAAATCTTATCACTACAGCTGTTTCGGCTGATTGCCTTTCTCAAGTGATCTATTTTTGGCTTGGGTTTACAAATTTATAGTCTCTAATGAAATAGGTTGAGGAGGGGAGAACTGTTTGTCTCAAGTTGGTCATTCAGAATTATATCTGTGTTTTTTAATTTGTTGATTTCCATAGATTCTAACAAAGATAGCTTAAGGCCTTTATTTTGAATGTAAAGAATTTTAAATTTGTCATTAAAAGAATGATTATGATCTAGAAGGTGAAGTGCGTATGTCGAATCTGTTTTTCTATTCTTGAAAGCCCTTTTATGTTCTGCTATTCGTTTATTAAAGTTTCTACCAGTTTGACCGATGTAAGTTTTTGGGCAGTCGCCACATTGCAGTTTGTACACACCAGTATTTAAGTGTTTTTTATTTTGGCTCTTGTTATTTTTAATATATTTGATTAGGTTGTTATTTGTTCGGAAAGCTGGTGTTATTCCTTTCTTTTTTATGTGTTTGGCAATTTTTGTGATTTTGCCTGTATATGTAATCGAGCAGAAGGTACTGGGTTTTTTTCTCTGGTGGTGGAAATACCAATTTTTATCGTATATTAATTCACTTCATAGTCCTATTGAATTTACAATAGGAACAGAACAAAATCAATCCATAAATTTTTTAGATTTAAAAATTAGCAGACTTTAAAACAAACATGACTTCTCCATATTTCATAAACCTACCCATACTGACACGACTATACATAATTCATCATCCCATTCAACACAACATAAACTGGCAGCTTATCATAGTATGTTACATAGATTAATAGAAATTCCGATGTCAAAATACAACTTTGAGACAGAATTATATATAATTAAGCAAATAGCAGTAAACACCGGATACAACGAACATACAATTAATAAAATGTTAAATCAAAAACTACACAAGAAAGCCCTGAAATTAGTATTTTGACCACCAGAGAAAAAACCCAGTACCAAATATATTAAAAATAACAAGAGCCTAAATAAAAAACACTAAAATAGTGGTGTGTACAAACTTCAATGTGGCGACTGCCCAAAAACTTACATCGGTCAAACTGGTAGAAACTTTGATAAACGAATAGCAGAACATAAAAGGGCTTTTAAGAATAGAAAAACAGATTCGACATACGCACTTCACCTTCTAGATCATAATCATTCTTTTAATGACAAATTTAATTAAATAAAGGCCTTAAGCTATCTTTGTTAGAATCTATGGAAATCAACAAATTAAAAAACACAGATATAATTCTGAATGACCTACTTGAGACAAACAGTTCTCCCTCCTCAACCTATTTCATTAGAGACTATAAAGTTGTAAACCCAAGCCAAAAATAGATCACTTGAGAAAGGCAATCAGCCGAAATAGCTGTAGTGATAAGATTTAAAATACATTTTGTGGAAGTTTGAAAACAAAGTTTTCAGTGTTTTATTGTTACAAATAATGAAAAACACAAAACATGTAAGTTCTAAGGAGTATTGGGATTAAATAGGTCTTTATAAAATTTTCTATTCTCTTTCTTCAAATAGGGAACCATTGCCAATAAGTTTTGTTTTTTTTTTCTTCAGAAATTCTACTCTGGCAGGTCAAGTTAGGAAGAGTTATTTTGGCAATAGTTTTAATTGTAACATTTCTCTTTAAAACTTTTGTTGATTTCCAAGTTTCCAATTTATTCAGAGTTTCTCGTATTTTAACTAATTCCGGATTTTGTCGGTTAATGTTGATCCATTGAGCTTTTGAAATTTGAAACTTGGATGTATTGATTAAACTTTCAGAAGCAACTTTAAAATGAAAGAAGTTCTCACGGTTCAATAATGTAACAAGAAATGGTGTTTTCTTTATAGTTTTTGTCATCGTTCTAACCAAATCCATAGGTACCTCACAGTTCTCTTGTTTTTGTTGCTTTTCACTTTGGGCAAAATCCCTGTCGCAACTCATAAATGAAAGATCTGATACTAGATACTTTGAATAATCTCATCAAAATACTCCTTGAAGACTTAATAAAGTCGTAAAAATAATAACATTTTATTTTTATTTTGTCCGGCACAGTTGTCGCTCCAAATTGTTACTTTTCGTTTCTGTGTCCGTATATTAGTGAATGCTTTCAACACACACGACGCAATTTCATTCCCTCCACGTCCTGTTATACCCTCATGCCACAAAAACATGAAGCCAGTGTTATTGTTCCCTAGGTGAAGACAAAGGTTTTAGTTGGAAAGCTGTCGCATATAATACATTTGACTATAATTTAGAGTTAAGCAGAACCATATAAACTGTCATGGTGTCACTCATGGGTTGCTGACAATTCTGATGGTCTTTTCTCATTGCTTCTACAGCTGCTTTAGCTTTTCGGTGAAGTTCTAACTTAAATTGAACATCTTTCTGTGTGGGATCTTTTGTTTTTATGTGCAGTAAATCACAAGTAGCACAGGTATCAGTTCTAGGCTTACGAAAGCTTACATTGGGAAAATTATTTTTGAAAATCTGAAAGTAAAAACGATATCTCACTGCTGAATCAGGATGAGCTTCCTTTAATGCCATGTAAAGTCTATATTGAAATCGGAGCTCAGATACTGTTTCTCGCTTTTTAAATGGTTTTATGTCCCATGTGTCTGGGAGATTTGTTTATATACTCGATAACCAATGCTCTATCTTCCGGAATAAACTTTCTAAACTGCGTTTTATTACCTCTCCTTTCCTTATAAACTAAATCTCCTTTTTTTCAACTTAGCTTATGTTTCAATTTGTCTTGGATTATTCCCAACGCGTCGCAAAATGTGTGCCTACACACCTGTAAAATGTTGCCTTCTCCGTTGGGTAATGTGAAGGAAAGTGTAACCTGTTCCTTACTCTCTTTTGCTCTCTCATAATTTCTATGCCTTCTCTTGTCCATTATCCTTCAAACCATAAAATTGGCCGTGAAAATGCCTCAATTTTTATTCATACTGTATCTCTTTACACTTGTACAACTTAAGTTACATTTGCACAATATCTAAAACAACAGTTCAGAATAAGTACTGAATAAGTAAGAAAAATAAAAACAATATTCGACTAACTTTATTTTCAAGAGGCTGGTTGGTTAGAACTTTTTTGTTATTTTTCTTTGTATAGCACTCTTTTCCAGCATTTATTTTTTTCTCTCTTTTCTTTTGCTTATTGCCCTTTCTAGAAGTAGCAACAGCATTCATTTTTATATGACTTTAAGATTAAACAGAACCAGATTACCGATAACAACTTTACTTATACAACATCAAAACAGTACTGAAACTGTCATATTTATTGCCACTTACCACATTTTTTTACCGGCGATGATGTGGCGATTGTAATTTTTAACGTACGTAATAATAACCCGGCGACTTAGATTTTTTGGCACTGGAGTTTAAAGTAGATGACGTTAAAACGATATAATCATTACTTTTGATTGGCGTTCCTGGGACGACTTCATTGAAAGATCAATCATTCAGTTACATGAAATCATTTTTAACTTATTAGAAAAATTTTAAAATTGATTTCAAACTTAACGATATACATACTTGTTCTTCGTCAAGTCCATCTTCTATGGAAGTTTAAAAATCAGCATGACTCTGCGGACCTTGCTAAACGCCTCTCTAAGTAGTTCTTCACTACTGTATTTAAACCTTTCATAAAGCTCTTAACCCAGAATACTTTTTATATTCCCACGTTTCGCTTTTCTTGGATTTTGCTTTGCATAATAAGTTGCTATAATGAGTATTTTCCCTCTAATCACATGTCCTAAGTACTAAGTAACTTTTTGTCTTTTGGTTGTAAATATTATTTCCGATTTATTTTCTATCCTTTTAGTGACTTAGTGACTTAGACTTTTAGTAATTCATGATATTCGTAAGATTCTTCTGTAATATTAAAACTCGAAGCAAGCAACTTCTTTATATGCATTTGTTTTTAGGGCTCACTAATATTCGCTGGACATCATTAATCCAAAAAGTCAGATCGTATCCATAATATACTTTCCTCGCAGCTAAAGTAAAATTTTAACTAAAGCTCCTGACAAACAAAGAGAGACAAAGAAGATGGAACTCAGAAAGAAGGACGATCTTCTCCAAGTAGTGTAAAAAAGTAAAAAGTCTGCCCTTTGTTGCTAAGGATACATCACAAGAAATTTAAGAGACTACTAAACATTGTGTAACATGCTACACAATAATAAAATTTTCGTATTATTTTAGTGTGTAATGGGCTAATGATGTGTGTAATGTGACTAAGGAGCTTTGGCGTCTGAGTGTTTGCCGGAATAAGCAATCCACCATTTATTGGCCAACGGCTTGGGATGGATCAGCTGATAAGTGGAAGGGCATTCTGTTGTCCTGAGATTGAAAAATTGGTCTCGAAGGTGAAAGAACCAAGAAAGTACATCTCTAGTAACTTTATTATGGCAAACACAACTTAAGTGGAAGCAGCTACTAATCATTGAATACTGAAGTCAAGATTCGACACAAAGAGGTGATTTACCTCTAGATCACGGCCTCTAGACCCAGGTCGTATTCCAGACAAACCCCTGTAAGAGAACTGGAAAAATGTCTCTTAAAACTTTAGAGTTAATTATCAAAATATGTACCTAAATTTATGTATCAGGTTGTAAAACTTTATAATACTACTTAAAAAATTACCGGATTTGGGGTAGGTATAATGGGCATAAGGAAATAAGGTGCTTGTATTGTAGATAACTATATGGTATACTACTAGCGAAATAATGACGGTCAACATTGTATGAGGTTCGAGTAATCGTATTTCCTCAATTACGTCAATATGTTACAAAAGTTATGCATATTTCTGAAAGATTGATAATAATCCATAATCCACCTGAATACTACCTTAATCACATTATACGTTTTACAAGTGTATGCTCCAACCAACTATAAACCAGAAGAAGAAGTAGAGCAATTCTATGAGTTATTTATAAATTCTTCTTCTTTTTCTTCTGCCTTCTTGTATGTAGGCTTTAAAGACTGTTTCTTCTTTTATAGTAGTATCCTAAATAGGTTAAATGATCGCACCAGCTTATTCTTGGTCTGCCAATACTTCTAACTATCCTATTTTTCGCCATTTTACTAATGTCTTACCCTCACCCATCCTTTTATGTCTTCTATATTGCATGATTTTCTTATGTTTTCGCTTCTCTCCCTATCCAACAGACTTTTCCCTGATATTCGTCAAAGTATTTTTTTCTCTGTTGTTTCTAGTAGTCGTGTCGTTTTAGATTAGTCAGGTCTTGTCTCCGCAGTGTATGTTTTTTTAGGCTTTGTTGTCGTGCTTCCTCGTTAACATCTTCGTAACTAGTTATGTCTGTTCCAATATTTCTAAAACTTGCTTCCTGCTTTATAATTTCTACATCAATTTTGTATCAATTTTACATCGTAGTGAGTATTTAGATCTTGTCATTCATTTGGTTTTTCTGCTGATAGTATTATATTAAATTTCTTGGCTGTTGTATTAAAGATGTGTGTTAACCTTTGGAGATCGTCTTCTGTCTCGGCGATTAATGCGGTGTCGTTTGCATAATATATTATTTGGATGCCTTTGTTCTACATTCCATAACCATGATCTTAACGTACTACTTGTGTTATTTCCTCAATATTGTATTAAAGAGAAGCAGACTTAACAAGTCACCCTGTTTGACTCCTCTTTTTGCTGGTATACACTATGTAAGTTTTCCTTTTTTTGTGTTTGAATTTGTATTCGATTATGAAAGTAGATTTTTTCGATGGTTTGTATAATATTGATTATTATGTTTCTATGTTTCTTTTATACAGTAGGTCTAATAGGTCTTTGACTTGGATGCTAACGAAAGAATTTGTCAGGTCTATAAAACATAGATAGGCGAATTTATTGTACTCGATGGCCTTTTCTGTGATTTGTCTTAGTACAAATACGACGTGTACGCGGGATCTTCCGGATCTGAATCCTTGTTGTTCATCTAATAAAGTTGTTATTTTATTGATTTTGTTGGTTAGGACTTTTGTGGTGAGCCTAATTGCGGTGTTCAGTAGATTTATACCTCTATAATTGTTGGGTCTCCTTTATCCCTTTTTTTGAACATTGATATCATTATGCTGTTTCTCCAGGCCTCTGGTATCTTGTAGTGCAATATTAGTTTTTGTATAAGTTTTGTCATCTCTAGGGTTGTATTTTCTTCTCCATGTTTTAAAAGCTCCTAGGTTATTTCGTCTGTTACTAGTTACTTTCTAGTTTTAAGTGAATTTATCTCTATCTCTACTTCCTGACCACTGATTTTTATTTCGTGTCTTAATTCGGGTACTCTATTATGTTGAATATTATTTTCCTTTTCTTTAAACAGTTCCTTTAGATGTATTTTACATTCGTTTGCTGGTATGTTATTTTATTTCTTTAATTCTGTAGAAGTCGCTTTCCATGTTAAATTCGCTTGATAAATTCACTCCATCACCATCATCATTAGTGCTACAGCCCTATAAAATCGCCTCGACCTTCCCAAGTCTATTACGCCTATCAATTGCCAACTGTTACCAGTTTGCTGCACCTATTTTTCTACCATCCTCATCTGCATTATCCCTCCATTAAAGTTTTGGCCTACCCTTACTTCTACTTCCCACAAGTTGTGACTTAAAGATTCTTCTAGGGTTGTTCTGCTGTAATCCTGCCAGATGTCCTGCCTATCTTAATATTCCTGTTTTTATAAGAGATACTACGTCTTTACCACCGAATATACGTTTATATCTGTGATATATCTGGTAGTTGTACCTTCTCCAAACACCAATTGCAGAAGGATTTCATCTACTTTGGAAATGGTCCATGTTTTCAATCCATATGACAACACTGGTTGTATAATGGGTTTGTATATAGTAATTTTTGTATTTAGGCTTAAGTTTCTGCTTCTCATATATCTACGCAATCCAAAGTAGCATTTGCTTGGTAGGATTATTCTTCGCTTGATTTCTTCCGTCATGACGTTCTTCTTGGTGATCAATGAGCCTAAGTATTTGAATTTATCCAACACTTCAAAGGTAGAGTTATCAATCGTGAATTGATGGCTGATGTTTCTGGCTCAGGTGTTGATGCCATTATCTTAGTTTTTTTCTCATTTAATTGCAGGCTTATATTATTTGAGGCATTAGACAAGGTGGTATACATTTCTTCTAACTTGCGTGTTGTGCGGGCAACCAGATAACTAAATAAATTTACTTAAACAAGTTTAAATATATATATATATATATATATATATATATATATATATATATATATATATATATATTACTACTATTATGGGTGACTTAAATGCGACAATTGGTAAGTCATTTTAAATACAAATTTTCGGGACTATGTTTGTAATATTTAACACTAAATATATTTTATCTAATAAAACTTTATGTGACCTTATAATCACAACTTTAATATATTTTTAGTATTAGTGCGGTATTCTATGTTAAGATTTTACCATGGTCTCTATATTTTTTTAAAAATTTTCAACTGATTTGATTATTTCTTTCCTTTGTCGAAAGTTTTCAGTACGCCTTTAGCAACAAATTCAGTTTTCTACAACGCTAAAACACATCAAACTACGACATTCTTTGTGCACTTCAGTAAAATGATGTCTTAATATTAAGTTAGTTTCAGGTCCTCACAATTTACACGAGATGAGTAAAAGCGTTAAATTGCAACGCTAGTCTTGTTATCGAGGCCTTTTTGTTTATTTCAAGTCAACACGTCATTTAATTCCAGCACCTTTGTGTTACTATTTCTTGCATTTCACTTTATGCTCTGTTAGATTGACTTACACAAGGGTATTTTAAGTTTATTTTGTCTGGTAAATGTTTTCTGTACACTTGGCGTGATAATATTATATAAAATACAGATTTTACAAGGTGATAACACCTAATTTGACTGTTATATTCTATAACTTACAATGATTTTGAAGCTATTTTCTTGTAGCGATTTAATAAAATTTACTATTTTTATTGAGAATTTGTAACAAAAACAAATTAATTAAGGCTGGCTGGCGAAATGTGCCGGAGAGTGACCACTTGTCACATAAAATATATATATATATATATATATATATATATATATATTATATATATATATATATATATACATATATAATATATATATATATATATATATATATATATATATATATATATATATTAAACTATCCTTCCATTGTTGGATATAGGTA